ACTGGGTAAAGGCTAAGTCCTGCCCTACTTATATACACCACCAACTTATCTGAAGCCAAGCCTCTATATTATAACATAAGAAAATGGGCTACGCTAAAACGCTACCTCCCTTCCCGCTCTTTGGGCGCACCCGCTCTCTTATGCTTAGCAAAAAGCGCGTGCTTTCCCAACTATGCCCCTGTGCGCACGCGCGAGGGGAGGGGGAGCGTTCCTTCCGGTACCGGGGCGGGGCTACGTAACTATAAAAGGGCCGCGTGGAAGGGTTTCGTTCTGTTGCAAATGGCGGCGACGCGCGGGTAGGCTATTGGGGAAATAACCGCGGGTGGAGAGGCAGTATGAGGTGGGGTCTGTTTTAACTTGAGGTACGAATTTCCTATTCTTAATGGTTTTTTTAGTGGCGCATTGAAATGTTCAAATGGATACACTTTCCCTAATAGGGCGGAATGTGAATCCCCAGAGAGTCGTGAGCGACTCGCAATCCCTTACATAATTTTCTGTCACAGTGTTGTGAGGACTCAAGGAAGGTGTGACTTTGTGTTGCTAGTGAGCTTTTTATTGGAAAGGTACGGGATATAAATGAATAACGTAAGGGTGGCGTTTGAAGGTACATATGGCGGTGGGGGAGAGCAAGGCGAGCTATTGGCATAGAGAAGATCCAACAAGGAGGCTCTAATATCATATTTTACTAATTACCTTTGTCTTTCCTTTAGCAGTAAGGACACTCCTATCTCCTTGAAATGGAGCGTCTGTGCAAGGTATTCGGTAGTCCTGCGGTCTCTTTTTGCTGGGTGAGTGAGTTTGTCTGCTTTTAAACTTGTTCAGGCTTGGTAGATTCTCTTCAATGTAAAATTGCTTAATATAGAAAAGTAAAGCCAGTGGTTCCCTGCAATGTGTACTTGGTGCCAGGACTAGGCATGCCCTTCATGTGGGGTTTAATAGACCAAGCCAGTGCAGAAGAATATGATTTTGAATACTTTGCATTGTGCAGGGGAACCTTTGGTAAGTGTGGTTTTATGTTGTAATCAAATAAACTCTTGCAGTTCCTTTCCTCTGTGGCAGTAAGGATGCATTTGGTTGTATAGGGTGTAAGTGAAAGTATTGTTCCTGTAACAAGAGACATGGTAGCAGGGATGCTCCAATGATGTTAGCACTGGGCACAGATTGCTATGATGATGACAGTGCACTCCATGCCTTTGACACATGGGGGACTGAGGAGCAGCATCCCTGCCCAACCTGGGAGGTTGAAATTGAAGATCAGATTCTGGTTTGTAGTATATCCTGTATAGGGAACTATGGATAGGGAATGCTAGCATTCTCTTATCAATTCAAATAATTAAGGAGTAGGTCCTCTTATCATTGCCTTTGATGGGAGATGTGCAGTGCCTGTGACTGAATCTCTGCATTTGTACGACTTGAACAGACATGCATAGATCTGACAGACTTACCAGCTGCAGAGGGAAGGGCTGTGACTGAACAGGTCTGGGAGAAGGAAAACTTATTTCCTCCTGCCAGTGCAGTTGAATTCTGATTATTTTCAAAAAGGTAGTGGGCTTTCCTAAATCCCTTTCTTACATTCATCTGTGGATACTTGTCCACCTCTGTTTGATGTGTATGACATAGTTTTGCAGATGAAATGTTTACGTAGAAAGATCAGCCTTATGAATTTCTGTTTCTAATGAAGGTATCTTCATTACTAATAGATGACTCCAGCATTAGAGTACATGGCTCTGATGTGATTCCCAGGGTGAAAATCTGCCCATCAGAGTGAACGCGGCTACCATCCTGAACATCTGCTTTCTGAGCAAGGTGAGGGGTTTTTGGCATTGTTATCCAAGTGATACA